CAGAGGTCTGTTGAATTTTTTCTATAGAAAAAAGCGACTCAACAGAGGTCTGTTGAATTTTTCCAATAGAAAAAAGCGACTCAACAGGGGTCTGTTGAATTTTTTTCTATAGAAAATAATCAATTCGCAGTTGTCTGTGGAAGTTTTTTTTATAAAAAAAATCACTTCACAGTTGTTCAGTTACTGAGGATATTTTTCTATAGAAAAAAATCAATCCACATTGGTCTGTGGAATTTTTTTCTATAAAAAAAATCAATCCACATAATATAATTTTTTCAATCCTGTGGATTCCACAGTTGCCTGGCTTTTTTCTCATTCTGAATAATTTTTTAATAGCCAGCACCCCCATAACAATTTTTGTGCTCCAAGCTCTCTCATGGCATTTAAACATAGGTTAAAAAATTATTCTCGGGACCCCCACTTGCTCAATGTGTGTCATGGCTAACAGGTCTTGCAAAATCAATCCAAAAATAAAAATATACAAAGACAAAAACATACCTTGTAAATACAAAATAGAACTAATATATAATTAACAAAAAAATAAATATTCTCCCTCCTTCCCCTCACTCATCACCCATCCAAATGCAAAACCACAAACTCAGCAACTAAAAAAACAAGTTAAAAATTTGGCTTGCAAAAAAATAACAAAAACCAAAAATAAAATTTTATTAAAACAAAATACATTAACATATTAATTAATAATAGTATTATAGATTATATTTTGTTTATACACTCAAAGAAAGAATCATTACCATGATGAGATAAAGAACAAATGACTGTAAGTTTTGTTAGCAACTAAAATGATATTAAACACATAAGAATTACTACCAAATCCCTAAAAAAAACAAAACAAAATATAATTAGACTAAATAAAAAAGTTATATTTAATTTAAATTTGTAAGACAAAAAACTAGTTTTTAAGCCTAGGAAGTAGTTTAACAAAAATAAAATAAACCAAAAACTTTAAAAAAATTGCAAGTAAAACCAAAACACAGGAAACACTTAGAAAAAAGAAACAGAAGAATAAATCCCAAAAATCAATTTTCATAAACAAAAAAGTCTATGTGTATGTTATAAACATTTATTTATTATTTACGTATGTGCGTATTGTATTATAAACAAAAAAATTAGGTATATATAAAAATCCCGTATGTGTATGTGTATATTTTTTGTTTTTACCCTCCCAAACCAAAAAACAAATTATCCCTAAACATTAATTTTAAGAAATAGTTTTAAGTTTTTGAATGCAAAACAAACAAACAAACCCTCTCCCAAAAACAAAGAAACAAACAAACCAACAAATTGAAGACAATGAATATTTATTTAATGAAAATATACGACTAATTAAGTTTATATATAGTTCGTTATAATATTTATTAGGTATTTATGTATTTATTATTTTTTAAAAGTATATTAAACTAAATTATTTATTTATTAATTTATTGCAATTATTTATTTTAGTTGTAATCCATAAAAACAATGCTTTTAATAGCAGGCAATAAATAACGAAAAACCAGCAAAAAAAAATATTAACCAATAAAAATTTGAAATAATAACAAAAAATAATATGAAAACCCAATACAACACATTTGCTTAATTTTGTATCTAAATCGGAAACAATTCCACTTTTGATTTTGACAGCAATGGAATTTCTTTCAGTCACCAAACAGGTAAATTTGTTGTGGTATATAAAAAAATGTTTATATATATATATATATATTTTTTTTTTAATTTTGTTAAAGTACTCAACTTCAAAATACGTTTATACAATAGTCGGAAGATAGAGTATTCATAAGACCTTCCTGGGATTAAAATACGAACAACACATTTTAATCTAGTTTTTTTTTAAATTTCTCAAGCATTTCCTATCAAAATACCTTGATTAGAAACACGGGAGTAGTAGCAGACGGTTGGATATTTATCAATCCACTTGTCTGAAACGGATTTGATCCAAAGAAACATGGGGCCGAAAACCAATATTTCAATAAGGCACATTTTACCGTCGCACAGTGTATATAACCTCATAGTCGTAAGCCCTAGGGTTTAAAAATTCACCGACTTTCAGGTCGGAATTTTTTCATCCCAGCATTTTGACAAACCGCCAGGACGCCATTTTTTCTATAGGAAATAATTTACAGAGCTTCAAGTCGACATTTTTTTCAAATAGAAAAAAATTCGCAAAACCTCAGTTCGTCATTTTTTCTGTAGAGAAAAAATTACAGGCCCTAAAGTCGGTTTTTTTCCTATAGAAAAAAATTCACAAAAACATGAAGAGACACTCAGATCGACATCTTTCTCTATAGAAAAAAATCACAGGCCTTCTATAAGATATTATAACGGACAGAAATGTGTAAATCAAGTTAAAATCGTTTAAAAGTGAATTCCAAAAATAGTTGATTTTTTATATTATTTTATTTTATTTATTTTTGTTGGTTATTCAACTGAAGTTCATAGAAAGTTCCTTCTCTTATTCTCCTCACTCAATTAAATGAGAGCCAATATCCCCATTGTAGCGTGAAATAACGTTTGTAGCTTAAGTCTATTACTTTTCATACCCATTAAGGCAAGGAGAGTAAGCATGATTTATTTCAAGTGAAGAGAAATTAAGAGATAACTTGTATTAGTCTCCTCTTTCCACCTAAATGAGAGGCCCACACTCCATTGTGTTATGAAAATACGTTTGTTGCTTAAGTCTTTCACATTGCATTCCGTTTATTTTGATCACAACACAAAAGAGAGAGAAAGGGAGACAGAGACTTTATTTGTGTACATTATAAGAGAGACTCACTGGTTGTTGTAACGTTTGTGTCTTAAGTCTTTTGATGAATATCGGTTAATCATAACACAGAAAAGATGTTATTCTTCGACTTTTAACAACTTTTAAAGAAATTTAAGCATAATTAAATATAAATAAACCCAAGTAATAAAATCAATAATTTTAAGTGGGGTTTTCCGATGGTCCATTCATTAAATTTAAATAGGAAGGTTTAGGTGATTTCGTTGTTGTAAATTGGGTGAAAATTCAGCATTTTAATAATCTTACAGTTCCATAAGGACTGTTTTGGAGTTTTGAAGCATTTCTGTTGACATCAAATGCATTATTTTCATTTGTCATTCTTGCTTATTGTAGTTCATGCATACAACTACCAAGCCAATGTATACAAAGAAATACAATAATTTACAAACAAAAATTAATTGTTGATGTTTCGATTTCATTTTTCAAAATTTATTTAAAAAAAAATCTTTTCAACCAAAAGGCTGGCAACAACAATGAACCTAACAAGATAACGTCAGCACAACATGGGTGAGTTGAGTTTTTGTTGGCAGTAAATATTATAAATAAAAACGGGTTATTAAATGGAGGTTAGTTAAAAATATATCCAAAATATTAAATAGTTAAAGTTCATACCAACTGAAAATAATGCATAATAGGCAAATGGATTTCACATATTTTTCCAAGCAATCATTATATTTGTATCTAAAATACACATTTATTTTTCTCTAGCGCCAAATGTATTTAACAAAATATTACAACACTGAAAATATTACAACATTGAAAGCTTTTTGCTTTTTATATATATCATCAATATTAAGGGTTTATATATTTTTTTATAATTTATTTTTCTTCCTATTTATAAACCATATTTTTTTATTCATTTAAATTCTTAATTTTCCTTAGCAAGATTTTGTGGATCCGTACAAAGGCAGTAATACCTATATATTTTAATTCCTACTATTTTTGATGAACGAAACAAAAAGAAAATAAATACAAAACCATGTTACAAATCATTTTCAAAACAAACATATCTAAACGAATTGCGATTTTTTCAATACTCCAATTTTTAAAACGACAACGAAGGTAACTAAGTTTTTGTTAATTGAAATATATTTTTACACAGCAATGTTTTAGTTTTAAAGAAAATGGCACCGATATGTATTTTTGCAACGAATCAAAGTTAATAATTTATAAATGAAAAAAAAACAAACTGTCGGATTTTTGTAAAAGTGTGTTATTAAAATTTGAAAATTAATGTTTCTCAAAATTTTATATTGTAACTTATTGTTTTATTTCATTGGCAAGTCGAATACCCGTTCATTAAATGGCATTTCATTATTCATATATATTTCACATTTCTTCCTCTGTTTTGAATGGATTGTACAGAGCTTACTTTTATATATTTTGTTTTTGTCCTGTATAATAAATTTAAAAATAAATTATTTGTTGTGTTTGTAATAATGTTGTTGTTTTTGTTCTTTTGTTAACGTCCATTGTGCAAACAAAAATTTTTGTTTAACACCGCACGACAGTTTTATGAATTATTAACTTTGTGTATGAATTAGGGGAAAATTTAATGCAATAAAATATATAAAAACAAATAATAACGGCTTTCTAATATCAAAGGACTAATGCTTCGATTTTTAGTTATTTAAAAAAAATTTAATTAATTAATTTAATAATAAAGAGTAAGTATATGAGTTACCTTGTTTCTACTAACAAATTAATAAGTTAATAAAATTTTGATGGAAAACAATGTCTTCGTGGAAATGGTTCTAAAAAAGTTTAAGCTCTAAAATCCATATGAAATTCTTGATCAATAACCGATGGAGATTCAAGTACCTATAGTTGGATATTTTTCTCGGTATAGGGCTAGAATTCTGAAAACTATTCCAGTTCATTTAAAATTATATGGTAAGCGTCCTAATAGCTTGACGAATTACATTTTGAAATCTTAGAATTTTCTAAGAAATACAAATCTGCAATGGATCCATACCATTTATCATTTTTTAAACGTGTTTTCAAGCCAATAATAGAGTGGCATAAAATATCACATTGTTCTTTTTCCACAAACATTGTTTTCTATGAATTATTTCAAATTTGGTTTTCCAAATGCCTGCTCCATCTCAGTTTTTAATACCAATATTTTTCTATTGATTTCTTATTCCGTTTTTTATTTATGTCTTTCTTCTTCTTTTTATTCCTTCCCTTCCCACTTGTGTAGCCCCTCAACACGCAAATCTTCGATGACGAATTCATTTATGCCGATTTAGAAAGTCAACACTATGGTCCGATTAATTACAAAAAGGCTTCCACCGTTTATGCTCAAGTTTCGAAAAATAAAGATGGAGCCCTAGTTGAGGCCAAAAAATAGACGAATGAACGAATTTAGCCACTAAAATTTAATAAGAAACAACAACAACAAAATAATAATTGCATTTTAAGAGTTTTTTTTTAATGTATGTAGTATATAATTTTGAAAATTTTTAATAATAATAATATTTATGTTATAATTTCTTGTCTATTTTTTTGTAAATGTTAAAAAATAATTATAAATTTAATTTGTTATAATTTCTTATTGTATAAAAATGAAATTTCAATAAAACTTGAGAAAAACTTATTTGAATTTATTTTTATATAAAAATTAAACATGAATATGTTTCATTGTATATTTTTTAATAATAAAATATATGTTTGGAATCCATAAAAAATATATATTTATATTGTTATAATTTCTTATTGTATAAAAAAAATGCCAATAAAATTTGAAGAACAAAATTATTTTGGATTTATTTTTTTAAGAAACTGTTTATTACTAAATAGTGATAAATATTTTTATCACTTCCTCAAATTTATTTCCAATTTCGTAATTATTTTTTATTTATTTAACAATAATTTTTTAAATGTTAAAAATGTTAATTTTAAATTTAAATTTAATTTAATAATTTCTTATTGTATAAAAAATTAATTTCAATTTATTTTATTTAACATTAGAAATGAATAAGTTTTGTTTTGTATATTTTAATAATAAATATATAGAAACAATTTATTAATCTTACATATTTTAATTTAATATCGTTTATATTCATATATACATTTTTTTCAGTTTCGTTATTATTTAAACTTAATATATGTTTTATTATTATTTTATATAAATTATATTATTCTTTGAAAATATTACTTTATTAAAATCATATGTAATTTAAAAAAAATGTATACTTTTTTAAAAAAAATTATTAATAAATATAATTATTTTATTTCGAATTGCATTGTATTTAAAAGCCTTATATATTTTATGATAGGATTGCACCGATATTCCCCATCTTCGAATGTGTTTTAAGTTGGGAAGAAATATTTCGATGTGCAAACTTTGGATGATATCGGTTAATCCATTCGCAATTTTTTACTTTAAAAAAATTCACAGACGGCAGTTCGACATTTATTTCTGTATTTTTTCCTTAGGCAAAAATTCGCTGACCCTGAGGCTGGCATTTTCGTCTATAGAAAAAATTCACAGACCCTCAGGCTGGCATCTTTTTCTATAGAAAAAAATTAATAGACCCTCAGGTCGGCATTTTTTCTATAGGAAAATATTAACAGACCCTTAGCTCGGCATTTTTTTCTATATTTGTTTTTTTTTATAGAAAAAAAAATGAAGACATTAATTTTCCTCTATAGAAAAAAAATCACAGACCTTCAATGAGAAATTACAACGGACAGACATTTGTAAATCAAGTTCAAATTGTCTAAAACGTATTTGGCCCAAAGAAACATGGAGCCTCAAACCAATATTTCAATAAGCACAGTTGTTTCCGTAGCAAATGGTCATAAGGCTGAGGGTATTAAAACATGGCCTATAAAGAACAGGATACGTTATTCTGGACTTAAGTCAAACAACTATGCAAGGTTTGGTGTAAATCGAACAGAGATAGTGTCCACTTCGTTTACATTTAGCAAAAAATATATACGATATTTTGAATATCTCTCATATAACAGAAGTTTATATATGTATTTTCAATATGGAATAAAACTTTTGAATTTGCTCGAATCATTGCTGCAAATTTTTTGAAAATCGGTTGCATTTGAAATCAACAATACCCCGCAATATACCTACTGTTCGGTGCTGGACGCCTATTACCTGAAAATGAAAAACCACACAAAAATGGATTTTTCAAAAACGGAAAGTTTTCGTTCATAATGGCAGATGGTTTGTTAAGAAAATTATAGCATACTTTTAGGTCAACCACAGGATGTATGTACACCGATAGGTTAATTTGATATGTGATAGTTTTATGCACATATTCGATGTGACATAAAAAATATACATTCATACACAGTAGCTGTTATGAAGAAATACAAATATTTCCATTTTTACAAGACCGATTTGTGTGTCATATTTCATTTTCAGGCAACAGGCGCCCAGAATCGAGCAGGAAGTATATTTGGGAGCATAGTTGAATTCATATACAAATAACTCAGCGAAAACTTAACCGATTTTTATAATTTTTACAATAATGGTTCGAGGGAATTCTAAGGTTGTATTACATATTAACAATAAGTACATAAACATATGTTATATAACAGAAAACACCATTTTCTTAGAATTTTCTTCAACTGGCTGTAACTTTTTAACAAATTGCTCTATTTACACAAATAAGGTGCCATAGTAAAGGGCAAAATGTTGTCTTCGTGATAGTATCAATACATTTTGTTTTAAAAACGCATTTCAGATTGTATTTTTTAAAAATATATTTTACAATAATTATTCTTATATAACATTTCGTATTTATAAATTTATGAGCAGATATCAAAATAGCTAGAGTTCTTAGCTTTCATATGATACCAATTTTATTCCAATACTCCAAGTATTTCAAAAATTATGCAACTTTACAGAAAACCTTAAATTTTTCGTTTTCGCCAGTTAGGTATATTGCATCAATAGATGGCGCCCCAGTCGCAAAATTGTCAGGTCGTAAAGAAAATCAAGGTATTGGTAAAATTCAAAAAACTTTTTAACGAATTGGGATTTTTGGATGATTTAAATGGTTATGATCAGCTTAAAACTCACTGATTTTCCTTGTGGCATAAAATATTAAAAACTCCGATCATATGTATGCACATTTTGCTAAAAAATAATGTCAAGAATTATTACAAAGCTTTCTATGTAATTTTCTTGGACAAATCAATTTTGTATCGAAAGAGAACTCTTGAAGCTTTAAATAACCGTTGGATTCATCGAAATATCGAAATATCGAAATCCATTCTGAAGTTATTTAAATTTTACCAATACCTCGATTTTCCCTTACGACATGTCAATTTTGCGACTGGGGCGCCATCTATTGATGCAGTAAACCTAACTGGCGAAAATGAAAAAATTAAGGTTTTCTTCAATGTTGCATAACTTTTGAACTACTTAGAGTATCGGAATAAAATTGGTATCATATGAAAGCTAAGAACTCTATCTATTTTGATATCTGCTCATAAATTTATAAATATGAAATGTTATATAAGAAAAATTATTATAAACTATTTTTTTGAATACAATCTGAAATGCGTTTTTAAAATAAAATGTGTTGATACTATAACGAAGACAACATTTTGCCCATTACTATGACACCTTATTTGTGTAAATAGAGCAATTTGTTTAAAAGTTACAGCCAGTTGAAGATAATTCTAAAGAACATGTATTTTCTCTTATATAACATAAGTTTATATATGTATTGTCAATGTGGAATAAATCTTTAGAATTCCCTCGAACCATTGGTGCAAATTTTATAAAAATCGGTTAAGTTTTCGCCGAGTTATTTGCATTTGAATTCAACTATGCTCCGAAATATACCTCCTATTCGGTGCGGGGCGCCTATAACCTAAAAATGAAAAACCACACATTGCACTTCACATCGGTGCACATCGAAATATCTCTTTTAAGCTTATCAAGTTCGAAAATGGAACCCATCGGTTTCCTATTTCTGTTACCACCCCCACAAAGAGTCAACATTTTAGAAACCTGTACATTTAATTTGAAGCGAATTGAATAATAGATTTGATTCATTTTTTACAACATTATCCCAAGCTTATTTTAAATCCGAAGATGGGGTCTATAGGACAACCTCCTCAGGTACCAATCCACTGATGGTTAGTTAACTCGTTGATAAAAAATACCTCTTACACAGCGAATAATAAAACTTGTGTATAATTATGCAGAACTCCGCAAACCGTAGGCTGAAGTAGGCAATAACGATGACACTTTTTTATTTGTTCAAGACCATTTCTTTTAAGATTCCTAGGCAGACGTTGAGGATTTTTTTGGATACCCTCTTTCTTCGGGGACTACCAAAGCAGTTCTGTTGCATTTTTCTGAAATCCATTTCCTGATATGAGTCCCAAAATGCTGTGCTCCGAATTTCAATCCTGGTACATGGTACGGAACTGAAAGCCTGCAGTGTGTCAATAAGTATATTTTTCACAATACATTTTCTGGATGCCTGGTTGAGCAAATTTCCGAAAGGAAAAAAAACACTCCAAAATATAAACCTGTCTTCATTCATCATTCTTTCCTGTACACCACTGTTGTATTGAATAATATTCAGTAAGAAGTAGTGTGTGTAGTTCGAATTATTCTTTGTGTACTTAATTGATTGTTTATTGCAATTAAAAACAAATAAACAGATTTAAAAAACAAATACTGAAAATGTTTTTTATTTACTTATCTTTTGGACATCTGTTAGTGGGGGTTCTCAATATTAGTTTGATTGATAAGTTAGGAAAAAAACAGGAACCCAACATGTCTATCTTTGCTCCCAATGACTTTTTGAAAAAAATCCAAAAAATTGGAGCATTTTTGGGGAAATTTCCCAAAAATACCAGGCGCCCAGAAAAAGTAGCAAAAAAAAAATAAAAAAATTTGGCCGGGCAACACTCTACTCGCGGAAAAAAGTATGCTACAATTTTTGATATCATATTTTTTTTGGGGGCTATTTTCCATTTTAATCTGGGCGCCTGGTATTTTGGTGAAATTTGCCCACATTTGTACTAAACCAGGATAGCAAATGTTTGATGGTTATGTTAGGAAAAAACAGTAACCCAACATGTCTATCCTCACTTCCCAAAAATGTGGAGCATTTTTGGCCAAATTTCGCAAAAATACCAGATGCGCAGAAAAAGTAGCAAGTTGGCGCGCAAAAAAAAAAAAAAATTGGTTTGGCAACACTCTACTAGCCAAAAAATTCGAGCGCCTAAAAGTATGCTACAATATTTTTTTTTATTTTTTTTTTTTTTTTTTTTTTTTTTTTTTTTTTTTTTTTTTTTTTGGCGGGCAACCTGCTACTTTTTCTGGGCGCCTGGTATTTTGGCAAATTTTGCAAAAAATGCACTAAACGAGGATAGCAAAAAATTG